CAACTCATGCATTTTGTTTTTGCTTGCAGCTGACTTGAACTTCAAGAGTGTACAGATACATACTTAAGAAACCCAAAAAGAACCACTCATGCAGCTTCAGCGCCGGATTCGGCCCTTTGTGACTCCGTCCCCAGGAGTCTTTCCCTTTTGTCATGCAGGGGGATCAGGGACGTTTGGCTTGGCCTGATCCAACGAAGCTCCAGCCATTCGTCAGGATATTCTCGAGGGACGCCTTGAGAACGTACCTGCTTCGAACACATTGACACCAATGGTCCACCCTGCCGCTGTTCGTTGTTTTCATGGTCCTTCTTCATGCTACTGCCCCTCAAACCATTTTCTTTCTGCCAACTTCAGCAGCCGCGCGTTTTGCAGGATGTTACCGCAGTTGTGAGTGAAACATTTCTCAATCACCTTCAAGTGATCGGACGCTTCACCTTGCCGTTCCTTCGCCTTCCTTCTCGACTTGGGAATTGAATAACAGAAAACCAATGTCAGAGTGTGTGTGTGTGTCATGGTGTGGTCAAGTGTTATAAGGTGTTGCGATGTTTTTGTTGGGGTGCTGTTGTGTCATTGCCCTTTTCTTGTAGTGGTCGGGCCAGTCCTGGACGGGACTGGCCTGAGTCGGGATGTGCTGTGCGGACCACGCTTTGGTGTTTGTCATCGCACTGGACGATGAGATGCAGTCATGATAGGGTGGGGTGGTCTATCTATGTCTAGCCGTCTAGCCCGTCCCTGTCGGCCTGCGATGTACATGATTGGTGTCCCCCAAAACCTCACGGAGGTCGATGGATGGCGAATCGATCTATAGATATCTATAGCTACCTTGGTCCAGGCGTCCGTCGACGGAACCGTTGACCGTGGCAAATGCGGCTTGACCAACAGCCGCTGGTGGTGAGGCTTAGTGGCTACAGCCAGGGACTTCTGAAGAGCTTTTTGAAGCAAAAGCGCCTTGACTGTAACAAGAACAAACCGTACTGCCTGAAAAGTAGACAGTGCAGATGCATGTGTCCTTTCTTTTGCATCATCACATGGGGTCGCGCAACTACTTTGCAGAACTCCTGTTGAGTGCTGCACAATCAATTATACAATGAACACATGTTTTGGGGGGATGAAAAGAAACTGGAACTGGTCCCATAGTTTTTGGATGTTTTTGGTTTGAAGATGCCGTCGTACTACTACGCCAGTGCATGCTTTTGGGGGGACGCCGCATGACACGTGACACACATCCCAGTATTGCACATCATGGTTATTGAACATTGACAATAATGACCCTGACCGTGTGAAGCAACCCAAGACAAAGCTCAACCCTGCCAGCACCACCTCAAAAAATCCATGACCCAAAAAGTCACGACCACAAGAGATGCACCTGTAGATGCACGATGTCCAAACCGTCACTGGTGGTTCATGATGTCCACCTGTGATGCATGCGTTGCGCAATGATTCAAACAGCCCTCATGTGTGAAACCACATGGGCTCTTTGAGGCCTGTACTGTACCCTGGTTCCAATGGTTTCTGCATGGACCTCTACGGGGACGCTACGGCTTTGGACGCCTTCGAACACGGATTCTTCCGGTACCCTAACAATTGGTGTGGTATACTATGAATTCATGCAAGTCCAGATTTGCTCCAACAATTCCCAGGGAAATGGTTTACCAGGTATATATATCTCTCAATATCATGACAATGAACAAAGGCCGAAGAAGACCAACTGCAGCAGCAATAACAGCACTATCAGAAACAGCACCAGTATCGTGGTATTTAACTTGAACAATTTACAGAATGCAGCCGCCCCCGATGTGTTAGACGTGTGGTTTTGAATGTTTGCACTGAGATTGGAAGCGCCTGCGCCCCTGGAGCAGACTCCTGAGCTGCAGGTTAGACATGGGTGACACTGGCAGATCGACTGTTTCAATGGATCAGCCCAAGTTTTTTTGGAGTTTTCGCGCGGTTTTCAACGGTTTTTTCCAGATCAAGTCGTCGGCAGCATCGGAGCTCGGGCAGATCGACACATCGGGCTGCGCTCGGTCGATCGGTGTCGGCGCTGGGTTCCCCGGGGGCACCCGACTTGGTATCCCGTTTGCCAGTTGTATGACTTCGGTGTTAAAAGACGTGCACCTTCCTGTGTTGTGGGGGAAGCGGATTGCTGGAGAGCGACCAGGCCGAGAAAGATCAGGAACTCCCGAGGTGATGGCTTGTTTTTGTTGCAGAAGGTTCAGAGTAGATTTTAGATGATTTTAGAGATTCCTGGATTTGTTTTTAGTTGTTTTTATACATGCAATTTAGATTCAGAATCAGTTGACCGCCAACTGACTAGCGACGGGATGTAGAATCACTAAGATGTTTTTGTCATCAGTTAAAACCTAAGCATGTGCCGTCCGCCCGGGGCATCACACTACATCACTACGCCGCTACGCTGCGGTGTTCTTCTTGATAGGGGCATTCCTGGGAAGCCTCCTTCACCACCTCAAAGCACATGGGGATGGTCGTGTTGCCGCCATTCAGACCCGTCGACGATCTGATGATCAGACATCGTGGGAAGGGGGGGCCGGATTGGAGCAACTGATCCATCCAGGATGCGGGCGATCATCGATTCCACCTACTATGACGACGCTTCCATGGGACGAAAAAAGGGGGACAGGAGGATGGGTCGATGGATCAATGATGGTCTTAGAAGACAAAGAGAGAGACCTGATGGTCTTATAGAGAAAGTGATGTTTAGAGTGAGGTCCATGGTGGTCCGTCCGTCCTATGTACCCCCTTCAATGGTAAGGTGAACCTCAACCTGTGTTGGGGAGGGCGACCGGTATTCTACACCAGTTGAAACCGGTCGACCGGGCCGGGCTTCGGGGTGGCGCACTCCAGGGATCAGAGCGGGGGGAGCCCTAGTCGAACACCACACAACACCACACACGAAGTATCACGAAGTAAAACACGCCCTTCTTGTTCGAGGGAGACTGAGGAGGTGAGCTTTGACGACCGAAATGCTCAGGATGTCCGAGTGGCAGCAGAGGATCTCGCCCGAAAAGCTCCCGATCGGCCTGAGTTGGCTGAATTGCTTTGGAGTCGTCGATCTTGACAGCGACGGAACACGTGGAAGAAGGGACAGAAGGCCATTTGCGGAAGCCGAAGAGAACAAGCTTTGAGGGGGTCCTGAGATATCCTGAGATAGGTTTGTCGCGAACTGACCATGTTTGGAGCTCCAAAGCCAGGGTCACTCAGGTTCTAGCTGCATGTGCTTAGGATATATACAGGATGTTGAATGAACGCCTTTGCTTCAAAGCAGGTGAGCAGGTGAGCTAGTTAGTCCCTTGGAAGAGACCACTCCAACCACTCCAAGCCAATCGCCTCAAGCATTTTGCTGGTAAGAACAATAGAACGGGATGCCATCGGCATCGGTTGATGTGATCAGCAGGTCGGCTTGATCAAGTGATATCAAGTGTGGTTCCCGAGCATGAGTTCCGGAGATGTTGAGATCGCTTGCTGATTTGAACGTTTTGAAACGGACATGGATTGCTGCTTTCGATCATTGTACAGTCCGCCTATTCTGGACGTGGATCACGTGGCCGATCCTTTTGACGCCGAAATCCAATGAAATCCATGACACATTGTAGGTACGTGTGTGTGTGTGTGTGTACCGTACGAGTATACATGTGTGTGCTGTACGATGCTGTACGCTTCGAATCCGTTTCTTCGTCCCACTCGTCGAACCTCGGGTGCCCCGACGGCGGAGAGAGAGGTCGCAGCGGTGAACGGAACCGGCGTCGGTCGCAGCGGATGGTCTAGGATTGACCAAAGGACTCCAAGGCCTTGTGCCTTGAACTGGTAAGTTTAGCAACATAACTGGGTGCGCCGCTTGGTAAACCTCTTGCAGACCCTTGGCAAACTATACACTCAGAAGATCTCAGAACTATTGATTGTCAATAGCCGAAAGATGTGAAAAGGGTGCGTTCAGCACCGCTGCAAGAAAGTCCACCTTGAAAATGGTACTTCATGTTTGAGAGATATAGAGTCCATCATCCCTCTATGGTGGGCTGCTTTGGATTGGAGGACTGTTTGATGTATATTAATTACATTTATATAATTACCATATCCTTTGAACTCATATCACAGATTGCACACCCCAACTCCTGGGATAGTTGGATAGTGTAGCTTATGTGATAGCTGGTCAAGCAGGGTGTTGGTGTCAGAACACCCCGCCTCAGTTTCGACAGTTTTTTTCTACCGGGCGCACTGACGCACAACTAATCTTCAACAGTCTTTTCACAGAGTTCACAGTAGCTGGTTCGGAGTGTGGATTTGTGCGGACACAAGACTTTATTTGAAGATGAGGTTCAAAGAACATGTATGTGGTTCACAGTGCCCTGCAGCTTTACAATGCTCGGCCAGCACCAGCATCTTCGTTCATCAGGCCTTGCCCGCAGTAATCCCAGCTTTGCAGTGGAATCACAGTACATGTAACATGTTCATGGATGATTTGTCCGTGTAGTGTTTGCATTGAATGCAAGTGTGTATACAATATTCTCCTGATTTCTCCTTATTCCACTGCTGATCGGCTGAGGACGGCTTGATGGTTGCAGGTACAGTTCGCCATGTTCCACTTGAGATCTGAAAAAGGTGCTGCAGTGCTTGTCCAACTCCCTTCACTGCGCGAAGGGGAAGGATGCAGTTGTAGCTGTTGGCCTTACCGCCATAGTGGTTTCTTGCTGGTTTTAGCTAAGGGCTACCATCAACTCAAGCTGTTCACACCTATCAGAAAAGGCATCAAACCATATCAAACCCCTAAGCCTAAGGCTGCATGGATGGTGTCTATGACTCTATGGTGTTTGTGGCCGTGAACTGGCACCAGGAGACTGGACCCCCGTATACGTATACGACTTGGTGTATCGGATCGGCGCCCGGCACGGAGCGTTCGAAGGAGACGACAAGGGAATAGAAGGAAATCATGTGCCTTCTGAATCACGGGGGGGGTTAGTAATCCATCCTTGACATTGGATGGGAATGGAATTCGGAATGAAAGCTGAAGAAGCGTCCACAGCCCACAATGAGAAACGATCGGTGTTTGGCCAATTTGGGGCTTTTCATGGAATCAACTGCGACAAAACCAGAGAATCGCACTGCTCCTCCCAATTTGGGTTCACCTCCCAACATGTCCCAAAAGAAAAGACCAACCAATGGGTGTGTCACAGTTCTATAAGTGTTTCCAACCACTGGGCGCCACATCCATGTGTCCTGTTGTAAGACTGTTTGTATCCAACTTGGAGGATTCCGATTTCCTATACTGTATGTCAAGATACCCTGCTAGTGACTAGTGATGTTTCACAAGTAACTCCAAACTGCCTTGCCACTTTTTGCCGATGACGTCCTGCTACCACCATCTACCACCCAAGTGCCTAGAACTCCTGCCCGTTTCCGCGCCTCCGTCGCACACGTCGACGAGCTTCGTCATCTTCGTTGCCATGGCCTCGCAAAGCTTCGCAGCGGTGGAACGCGACAGCGGCTCTGAGGAGGTGGTGTCACGCCGTGCACAGGTTGTGATTGGGCTTCAGAGGTAGTGACAACAGTCCGAGGCCTGCCAAGCTTTTTCAAGGCATTTTTGTCGTTTTTAGTTCAGACTATCCAGACGAGTGTGAAGGGAAACACATGTTTGGTCTCATCCAGCAGACGTGCAGCTGCACAAAGTGTTTTGGTACCGCCCAAGGCTCCTGGCCAGTGAAGAAGACCTTGTGTGTGGCTGGGGTCCTTTTGGCAGTGGTGGGCCTGGGATCTCTGCGCTTCTCCAACCAATGCCTCAACTTGGATGCCTTACAGGGAAAGTCCGAGGCGCAGATGAATGAGGCCGCTGACTGTCAAGTATATCGAACAAAGATGAAAAACAGTATACATTATTGCTCAGAAACTGATTAGAAAGTCATTTCAATGGTATATACTGCAATGTTGACATATATAATCTACCAGCACCATCCTGTCGGGGTGTCCTGGCTGGATTATCCCGACTATCCCACACTGCCTATAGGCTTTGATTGGGCACCCCTTGGATGGTCCAGTGGTCCAGGTATAAGTCATTCAACATGAAGTTAGAAAAACCAACTGCCGTGACTGAAGTCAGTGATTTACTTCGTCTTCCTGTGCTCGGTGGTGCTCCCGGCACGGGTTGGCACGGTGCGCTCGGCACGGTGCTCGCTCGCTCGTCTCATTGGGAGGCACTTCTGAAGACGCGCAAGAAGCTTCTGGAGGCTGAGTGGTTCGTTTTGATTTGCCAGACATGCCATTAGACCAAACCAGCAACAGCTCACAAGGCTGGCACCTCTGACTTCTCAGGGATAGAAGTCATGGATCGAAGGAAGGTTTCTCAACATGTCATTCAACGCTTTCACGCTTTCAATCTGGAAGGTTTTCTCCGGTTTCGATGCCGGAGATCAGTACTGCATGTGCCAAACCACTCGATTTGGCCTTTTGCGACCCCATCGACACTGGGTGCTGCACCGGGGGGCGAACCCGCCACCGGGTAGAACCCGGGGGAACCCGCCAGCGCGGTTCCCGGGGTCGACCGGCGGAACCGGAGGTGAAGAATCGGAGTTTGGCGGAGAAGACGATCTTGAAAGCCATGACGAAAGCGGGCCACGATGCCCAAAAAGACTGGGAGGCCTTCGGGTCCGCACCCGCACACGGGGGGGCCAGGTGTGGACTTGCGGGAGTTAGATGGAGAGGTGTGCTGTGGGCATCCAGCTGACCTGCCATGTAGAAGACAACTGCTAGAAGACAAGAAGTCCGTTAGTGTCGCCGTTCTTTGTTCCCATCCACTTCTGACAGGCCATCCATGTTTGGCATTGTTTGGCTAATGGTTATAAGATGTGACGGCACACCACACTGTCACACCACGTTGAACCATGAACCAACCCGATGGTGGACAGACCGAGAGCCGCCGTGCCCGCGGTGCCGAGATTTGAACTCGGATGCTCCAAATTCCAGTGCCGGGTCCAACAACGCCAAGGATGGCATGGATGTAAGCTGGTGATTGAAAAAGCAACAAACAGCTCTTTGTTAGCCCAACCTAGCCATCAACAGTTCTGTCCCCTGTTTTGACCAGCCAAGGGGGTGGACGGTTGACGAGCTGGACGCTGGACGGTTTGTAGTACGGTGACCCGACCGTCGACTTGGTTGGAGTGGACCGGACGCACGTCCGGCTCCAGCGGCTCCAGGAGCATCACATCCGCAAGTTGGACGCCTTGACCGTTCTGAAGGACCGCCAGGCCATCAAAGACTTCCGCCGTGGCCAGCACAACGAGGAGCCACGGGTCCACGTGGTTGTTTTCTGCTTTCTGAAAGATGCGGCTTTTTGGCCCGGGAGTTTTCTGCGAGTGGTTCGGTCTGTTAAAACATATTAACTATGCATGCCGTAGGTTGTCGCATGTTGTTACTTGGACATTTTGCATGTTGCTCTTCATTGTCAAGAAGCCCGGAATGCAAGCCTGCAATTGCAGGAAGCCGGGAATGCAGAATGCGCCTTCAACATTTTGGAGGCCTTCGTCTCGGTGGTGGGCATGGGCGACGACATCAACGGCATCATCCGCACCTGCCCTCCTCCCCGCGATGGGGAGTCTGAGTTGGCGTGCCAGGTGGACGCATCCATCCTGGTGGCATGGGTGCCTTGGATGATTTACTTCAGAATTCGTGTTTGTTTGTAGTGGTCCCCAAATAGATAGACAACCCTTTCCAATACATTCTTGGGGATCTTCTAGCTCTTTAGCGATCAGAGAATCGAGACAAAATGATTCAATTCAATATCTCATCTCCAATGAAATTGGGGGTACGCCGGTGTTTGAAATGGGTCCTTTCTTGTACAAAGAGTGCCCAAATATAGAACACGCATTTTGGAACTGCTTGTGATGTTTGTACATGTCACTTGTCATGTTTGGAATTGATGACAAATTCCCGACTTGGAATCTAGGATTGAGATAGGATAGTAATAGTACTTGTATGAGTTTGGTTTTAGATAAACGTTAAAATGTTTGTGTTTTTTTTGTTATGACTGTTGGTAGGGTATGTTCCCACCTTGCCCATATGTTATGCTTTAAAGATCCTTGAAGTGCATCCTTCAAGCATTTGAGATACCTTTTTGGGCACCTTGGAGGGTACTGTGTTTGTGGAGGTGATGGCCTCAGGACCTGATTCTTTGATATTCTTTGTAAGTTGCCTACGGGAGGTCACTGCGGGGCGATAATTATAACGTGACAGCTGGACCAAATCTTTATATTGGACCAATACATCCTCGTGTCGATAAATATGACAGCTGAACGGTCCAGGGATCCAGTCGAATTCGCTCCCGATCTTGGCCCCAAGAGTAGGAGACGAGAGGGCATCCTGCACCCTGATTGACCCCGGTGCGACCCTTACCCCTTACATCTTGTTCTCCCCTAAGATGACCATGCTACATGTAAATTCATGCTTATATATACTATATATACTGTACTGTATGTAATATGTCCTATAGTGCCCCAGCCTTTGTCCTAACTTTAGGTGGGCAACGCCGCGGCCAAGATTTCCCTCGCGGCCTCCAACTGCGCTTTGACGCTGAACGTCGACTCCGTTTGCGCGGCCGGCGTCTCGGGCCTGGTGGCCGCCTTTGGCGAGATCTCCGCGGGCGCCTGCCTGGGCGCGGCGGTGGCGCGGCGGACATCAACCGGTCCAAGCAGTGTGGTCCCACAGGGGGGGTGAAAACTGTAGGTGTGCAGGCCCGAGTTGAGGACACCACAGACTATTAACATCTCCGTAGAAAGTTTGGATGAAGATAGAGTGTTGCTGTTGCGATCTGATCTTATGTACCCCTATTATCCCCTATTACTCTATGCCTGCGTGTTTTGCAACATTGTTGCTTCTCATCCTCCGCCTGTTTGAGGGCACTAAAATCGTTGTCAGGAAAGGGCCATCGAACCTAAAAAGTGGTAATGTTTTGCATTGATTGATCCCTGCACTGTGTTGATCTTTTTTATAGATAGCACACCTTGGTTGTGAGAAGTGATGGAGAACCCTACAAAAGAAAGCTGCAGCTTGACAAAGTCAAGCCCGTTGTACCAGTAGATCAACCTGGAGGTACCTTTCATATCAAGTCTAGGGTCAAAACACGTTTTTTGGGAGTGTACAGCAACAGGCGCTGGAGAAAAAAAAACATAGGCCTGGATCCTAGACTTAAGGCGGTCCGAAAAAATACATTTGCGCATTGCTTTCAGTAACTGCTTGGAATCACTGTGTTTTGATCTGCGGCGTGAAAACCATGATTGGGAGTCATTTCCTTACAGTTTGTGGATATGTTTTTAGTTTTCTGATATTCCACGGGCGTTTATACACAAGCTACGGGTCTATTGGTGAGCCACGGGCAGTTTTACCCGAACGCGCTTTTTCAGCAGATGTTTATTTCGGCTGCAGATGTGTGATTTCGGTTCACAGACTTAGATCAAGATAAGTTGAACTACCACTACTTGTACCAACCCAATAAAAGTCAACCACGAGGCGTTTGTGGGATGTCCCATGTCCTCCTTGGCATCAACACGAATTGACCACCAAGGTTTGCACGCCGACGCCCCCATCTTTGACCACGACCAAGATCAGCGTGTTGGGTGATCAGACGGTGCGCACGCCCGAGACTGGGCGTCGTTTGTTGATCGGCGAAGGGACCATTGGAAATGGCGTCCAGTGTGGCGTGGATGTGGGCATGGTGGCAGCCAACATTGCCAACATGGGAGCCTTGACTGCCAGAGTTGCATCTGTTTTGGTGGCTCCCAAAGATCCTTGCGTCCCTTGCTTTTGGGATCTTTGGGAGCTCGAACCTTGAAGTGCTAAGAATTGATTGTTGGACTCCTTCGAGGAAAAGTAACCCTAACCTCAGATATCGAATCCATGATCTCAGTGAACATCAACTATCAACAAATGGTGTAACGGTGTAAGCGACTTTTTTGTTGTTGTTGGCCAAGCGGCAGTTTCCAAGCGAGGTTTGGCCATCAACAAGGCAGTGAACGTCAACCGCTGTGGAAAATTTGCCACTGAGAAGAACCCCTTGAACGTCCTGAAAGGCATTCCGGATGCACTTTGCACTGTAGACATTGCTGGAGCCGTTGCTTACATCAGTCACTTGGCAAGTGTGTTTTTTCGTTGGAGTACTACTCTCCTCAGTTCGTCATCCGGTTGCACTTCATTGGGTTAATTGGGGGTTGTCCATTTGTTGCTCCGGATTGGTGAAACTCACGACTGCCACGGTGAAGCTTCTCATGTCTTCGATGGGACTGTAAGACCTGTGGATCACCGGCCGAGGTGAGGATATCCAAGAGCAGGTGAGGTTGATCTCCCTGGTAGGTGGTTTCGGGATGTGTCATGTTTTTTCGGAAAAACATCGCCTCTGGCTCAAGCGCTACTGCCGAAGCAGCTTGGGGTCAATTTCAGTGCTTTGGGATTTGGACCCCTAGCCAGTGGAGCACGACGGGACTCTGGATATATCACTGGTGTATAGAATCTAATCTATAAATGACATGGTTTTGCCAGTTTCTTCTGGTTTCAAGAATCTGGACGTTTGGAAGCTGGACTTAGGTCAGGTCGTCACCTTCATCAACCTCATCGTGGTTCATTGCCAGGACAGATACAGCCATTCTCCAGTCCCGACGAGAACTGTGGAGGGTCTGGAAGTGAGGATATATGCATGTCATACTCTTGGGTTTTTGCTGGAGTCTTTGGTATTGTGTTGTGCAGACTCAGTTATGATTGTGTGACATATTGTAGGAATCGCAGCTGTTGGGAGTTAACACATCTCCTGCACAGGTTCCCAAACACTCCTCCGATCCTGTTCTTGCCATGACTTCACCAGGACTTCCTGGATGTCAGCGCCTTGTGCGGCGGTTCCATCGCCGCCATCACCACCGGAGGTGCTGCCATTGCTGCCTATGGCGGCGCGGTGCACGCCGCCTGCCGCTACAACCACCTCCTGAAGACTCCGAAGCCTACGCAAAAGGTGGCGGAGTGGCGGTGGGTTTAGTTTGGCGACTCGCGGAAATCCATGCAGATGAACCTTTAGTTAGTGGATGATTTGGAGGAGTGTTTCAAGCCTGGGGGGG